AATATATTCTTAAACGATCTTAGACTTCTCAACAGTATGGAAGCGTGTTCTCGTCAGGGTAGCGACGAATCTGCTCAGCTTCTATTCGGTTAACATACAACCATTATTATACATCAAATGCTAAAAATGAGATAAACGACGGAACACGCACGAATACATACACGCGGTATTTAGACATTGTATTATTAAATGACGATTTATGATAGTCAAGTTTATAGAACTGCGGCAAACATAAGAACACATCTGCGCCGTCTATTTTAATTGTAATGTAAATTTGTATGATGACTGATGATGGCTAAGTAAGCCGAAATGTTCCATCAATTTTTTAGTTATTAAAATATTTTGTATTAATTAATCAACCAAAGTATGCTATTTTTTTAATCTAATTCTTTTTTTATTTTTTATTATAATATAGAATATTTTATAAACTATTGATTTCTTGACAGTGGAACCTAATATTTTTAGGCACAGAATAATAAGATGAATCGATTAGTGTAAAGAAAACACACAGTAGCTTAAAAAAAATGTAATTTGCAAAAAATGCATAAACTTACTAATTTCAAAGAGAGGCAACCTGAAGATATTAATTGATTTCGATGAAATTTTACCCAAACTATATTGAGGCCCATTGCTAACTTTTGGGAGGTATTACTAATCGATTAAAAAAAAATTTTTTTCGACCCACCCTAATATATATATATGAAATATCTATATACACATCTACAATTTTATGATTATTTTATCAGGTGATTGCCGCAGAAGGTGAACAGAAAGCCAGCAGGGCTCTGCGAGAGGCGTCGGAAGTCATCGGCGATTCACCAGCTGCTCTGCAACTCCGTTATTTGCAGGTAACATAAATATTATTTGTAGTCAATTTTCTGCACACGTGTCGAGTTATTGTTAATAATTAATATAAGTAATAGATATATATATCTATTACTATTAATCGAATATGATCAGACATTGCTATTACTATCCTGACGAAAATAAAAATCGAAGCGTATGTAAGGGTATGCGTATGCAAGGAGTGTAAGGACAGAAGCGCAAACGAAACTTTTAGGAATTTTAAATTGGGATAGTGGAACGTAAGAAAAGCATTTTATGAACTAAGCGGTTTTTTTCTTCTTTACGTTTTGCTATTCCGATTTTGTTTTTTTGAAATTTTATTTATGCTTCTGTTACTCTCCTTACGTTCGATTTATGCGCTCTAATTTGTATTTTTACCAAGGTATATTAATACCATTTAACTTTTTCACGCTCTTCTTTTAATTTTAGACATTGAATACGATATCAGCGGAAAAGAACTCTACCATCGTATTTCCGCTACCGATCGATTTCATGACATATTTTATGAAAGCTTTGCCCAAGTAATAATTGCCGTGGAAAAAAAGAAAGAGAGAAAGAAAGGAAGACAGCGTGCATCACGTTTTATAAGATGTAATGACCGAAAAGAAGAATAATTTCCCTAAGACTTCTTGAGGGACCCGTCGAGAAACAACTCATCAAATTATCGAATCGACATTGATGTAATGATTTCCACGTCGATTCGACATCTATTTGACGTCTAATTAACGGTCATTTCTCACTGGAAGATGTTTTGTTTGGCGATTTATCCGTATATTTGACATGTTTGCGTATATTACATCTTAACGATAAAGAGTTGCCAATATTCGACCAATCTCTGACAATTTCAAACTTAACAGGCTGTAATCGTAGAGTGATTACTTGCGTAACGTCGCACGTGCCCAAAGCACAGAATTCACACGGAGAATATGGCATAGACTGAAACACACACCGATATTTTTGGAAAATCTTACAGGATCATTTTGTATGTTTACATGCTATGAGGAGTAGCGTAACAAAATTTGTAGCATGTACATAGAATGTAATTGAACGACGTCAATATTTACGCGTTACTCGGTTCATCCTTGGCACAGCAATAATTTCCATTTGCGTCAAGTATTACATTTGTAATTTAAAATTTAAACTGTGAAAAAATGTAATGAAAAACAATTAATCCGTTCATCATAAATCTTGCACTGCCACTAATGCCAGAATTGTATATAAAATATGAATCGATTTTACGAATGTTAATTAATCGATTGGTAGAAACAAAATTTATTTAGTATATACAATAATTATCGAGATAAATGTCAAGGAGCGATTTTTTCTATCTTGTCAATTTTGTGTCAATATGCCACAACATTGATCTGTTACTACTTAATAATCAACAATAAAATCTGTTTATTGCCTATTTCTCTTACGGTACTAAATTACGTTTTGTCAAGCAACAGATTCATTTCACAGTTCCCTTTGCGTGAATAACAATTAATGGTAGATTCTTAAGATTATTTCGAGACAGAAATTTTGATAAAAAAATAACGAGGCTAACGAAAATAACTTTTAAATGAGAAGAACTTAAGGCTGATTAATCAAATCATTAATGAAAGTATTCTGAAATATGAATTTTATTTTTCATATTGATATAATTTTGAATACACTATTGTGCGATGTGCCACGCCTGAGTGAATTATTTCCAGTTTTATTGATCAACTTTAAAAATTATTCTTCTCGTTTAAAAATTATAGTCTCTATTTTAATATTAGAATTTCCGTCTTGAAATGATCTCAAGAATCTGCCATTAACTGTTGTCATATGAAGTCTGAGATATCCTGTATATTCCTCGATAATTTATACTTTGATCATGTGGTGCTATTTAAATGTTTATCGCTGATAATTGCAGTAATATTGCCGAGGGCGCTTAAGTGTTAAGAATAATTAATTTTACAGTCACTATATAGAAATATTTATATTTTAGCGGCCTGTAATGATTGCTTGGTCCAACATCGGCAACTCTTGCTAGCGATATATTTATACATTGTTTACTCGATCACAAACGCTTTGATATTATTACATACGTGTTATCTTGTAAAAAAGAATTAAAAGGAAAAGTTATCGGATACACATAGATGATCTCGGAGAACGTTCAGTATTATTTATTCAATAAAATACAAAATTGAATTGGATAAGTATAACTATATATTCACTAAGAGCACGTAGAATATAATTAAATAATAATCAAATTATCGAAGGATACGTGTGCATCTAATGATATTTTTGCTTAGTAAATTCGGTCGGATGTCTGCCTCATGATTTCTGTATTTATTCTGTGTTGTAAATATTTTTAATGATCGTAGTTATTTTAAGGGGGATCAAGTTCTTACGTTTTATCATTAACTATTCAAGGACAGATACAGATATGCGTATAATGTATTGAATTATATATCGAAATGATGGAACAACTGTCGTTTTAAAGAAATTCATAAGGAAAATTCTTATTGTAACTGTGATGGTTGTTAGATTAAGATCAGTTCACAATTAATGTAACATTCTCAAAGTGAGCTGATCGTTGTTTCACTTCCGCGTACATATATACATTACATTACGTATAGATTTTCAGCGTATATCGGAACATGGTCTTCAAAGGCGTATCCGATTCGCGTTAGAATAGAGAAACGTTTCGATTCGTGATACGTAAAATATTGAGAAACGATTGTAATATCATTTCTCAATATTTACATACAATTAAGAGATATAGAATCGTGGATTTAACGTTGTTCCTCCGACGTCTGATAACTACTATATTTATATTGTAATTATACTGTCTCACGAAATTAAGTATTTTGAATATTTCGGGAAAAGATTTAGAAATCTATTATTTTAGAGGAGCATATATTATTTGTACCTTTTCAAGTTGCAAAGTTTGTTTTTATATAGTCTCTTTTCCTTCGTGATGGGACCAACATATATCGACTCATTTGAAATATATATAATTTTGAATATTAAAATTCTATATATACAATTATAATCTAAAACCATGCATTTTTTGAAAGAGTCTTGAGAGAGTTTTGAAAATTCTTCTCCTAAAATTTGGAAAGTTTTGAATGGTTTGAAAGTATGTCTTTTCTTTCGTAACGCTTTACATTATCTTACATACACGATCCATTCTATTTTATACATAGGTAGATTGGTTTTAAGAATTTTTTAAATGTTTTATATTCAAACTTTTAAAGAAAGATTTTCTAGACACAAGTTTGAAGCTTTCTAGAATTTGTAGTTATTCAAAAGCAATCGGAATCTATAATAAACAAATTGTCCGAAAACTTTTACAAGAAAAAAATTGATATTCAGACGCCCATCACTACTTCTTCTCTCTCTTTATTATATATATATGTATAAAGGTGATCAAATATTTTAAAAATTTCATGATTTATATTGTGTATATATATACGTATATATATATACAGGGTGTCTGATACTCAATGGTACAGCGCTCATGAGCAGATAGTGTGGACTAAACTGAACAAAAAAGTCCTCTACCATTTTGCGATCTTCGCAATAGTTTTCGAGATATTAATATATAAAGCTTATCGAAACTGAACGCGTGACGAGATACGTCTGCCCGCCGCGGACTGTGGGCCCACTAGGCGCGCGGGGTTGGCGACCGCGGTCAGCGGGAGGGGGGGGGGCGGGTGTAACTCGCCGCGCGATTAGATTCGACAAGATTTATATATTAATATCTCGAAAATTATTGCGAAGATCGCAAAATGGTAGAGAACTTTTTTGTTCAGTTTGGTCCACACTACTTGCCCACGAGCGCTGTACCATTAAGTACAAGACACCCTTATATACATATGTATATAAATCATGAAGTTTTTAAAATATTGATTATCTTTATGAATAATTATATGTATAAGATAGTATCGTGTCCCGATGCAAATCTTCTGCATACGTATACAGGATGTGTCCTCCGTTAATTTAAAAAAAATTGAATAGGGAAGTAAGATAAGAGTAATTATTCGATTATTTGAAATCTGTGTATATGATAATTTTTAAATGATAAACGATTATAAAGAGTTAGCCAATTACAAGTTTCCGATTCCGCGTGTTTAGGATTATAGCAATGGCATGATTATAAACAAAGATTGAAAGTCAATTTTAATTATTCTACTTTTAATTTTTTATTAAAAATTATTTCTTCAATATTAACTACAAACATAAATACTCACATCTCATTATTACATGATTACTCTGATATTTCTTGTTATTGTCTCTTATCCAACATTTTTGAACTTGAGGGGATGCAACTTGTATACAGCGTATATTACATATATATGTATACATAATATATACATATATATACACACACATACGTACGTGCATGCGTAGGCGTGCGTTTTCTATAAGCATTACCGAAGTTTTTATGCTTTCTAATATAAGAATAAGACGGAGAAAGGTATCTCCAATTTTATTAAATGTATAAATGCATCTACACATCTGTAGCGCGTTGATTTAAAAGTTAGATCATACTCCCCCTCCTCTCCCTCTCTTTAACCAGTCTACCAATCAGCGGACGTTAACGAGATGCAATGTTTGTGAATATTATAAATGTTGTAATTGTAATATTCTACCATTATTATTCTAATTATAATTGATCGATTGATTACAGTAGCACGATAATTTTTACGACGACGATCTTTACCGTCCCGTTTTTATAGTTCGTAATATTTTATCGACTATTGTACTTCATCGATTTTACATATAAGTACACAATATTATAGCTACTAAAAATTTAGAAAGATGCGTTTCTCTTCTCAGACTTGTTCTTTTTAACGTGCGCAGAAATGTAAGCGAATATATATGAATATAAAAAGTATATTCGCGCACATGTTGAGAGAAAGATACGCATATTTCTTGATTTATACGCGACGGCACATTTATATAAAACTAAGTTACCAAGTTGCTTTTTATGCAAACTCCTTCATACATCTCGACATGGTTACAAAAAATATGTGTGTTAAAAATTTCGAAATAAAAATTGAAATTACGTAAACTTACGTTTTAATTTTTTAATTAATATTTAATGGCCTTATCTTAATTTCGTCGTGCATGGTTGTTGCACATAAGTAAGACAGAAGCCTCTATTTCCGACATCGGCAGGTGCCTCGGTGCTGTCTGTGTGAAAAATTAATCTGAACGGCTTTACGGTGCCTGAAAAAGTAATAATTGAAGAAGTGAATAAGTCCTCGGGTTTACAGAAATTGTATTTATACATATGTTATATGTGTATAATCCTCCAAACCTTCTAAAAACTTTTTAAGATCAAACTTTTTAAGATTAAACTTAATTAAATGTTAAATAACTCTTGAATTGTTTAGCTTTGATTTTAAGAATACATGTCCCGTGTAGGATTATTTTGTTTATATGATGATTTTAATCACCTCAAATATTTTATGGTAGAAAAAATGTCTCAAATAATGTTCTACAATTTTATAAAAAAAATATGATGCATGCAACAAATTTTTTGTATATAACAATATATACATATATATCAGGATACGTGTGGCGATCGTGGCGCGAGGAGCAGCGCGGCAGCTTTATATGCTAAAGTTCCGGGTTCAAATCCACCCAGAATAATATAACTCTAAAATTGATTTTAGTCAATTCGGAAGCGATCGCCGCCTCTCGGAAGGCAATGACAAACCATTGAGAGTATCTTTACCAAGAGAACCTCTTCTTAAAAAATGGCCGTTCGGAACCGACGTTAAAATCGTAGGTCCGGTATATCTGCGTAAAAGTGTAAATAGCGCACATCGCAGAAATATGAGAAGAGGTCACTACGCTCTGACAAGAGTAGTAAGACTATTGATTGATTGATTGATATATCAGGAGACGCGGTAGCGGCTCCCGCCAAGTATATTTTTTCGTTACATGATGGTCATACAGAGACGCTACAGTGTATCCTTTACCGGACGGATAACGTTTATGTAGGAATAAATTATTATATCTTTTAATTATATGAATATTATCGATAAATGCCTATTTTTGTGAAAAAATCTATATTTTTCCAATCACAATGCTGTAATAACGATGTCCATAAGTGCATTTGATGCATAAGCGCATAAAGTGTATGCATTTTTTTGCCCGATTTTATGTCATTCAGATACGTCGTCGTCATCGTTGTCGTCGTCGTCGTTGTCTTCTTCGCAAAATTTTTCAATCTTGTCCTCTTTCGTCTATAATTTATAATTTTGTCGCCTTTGTTGTCGCCATCTTTTTCTTCGCTAAATTTTCGTAAAATTTCAATGTTGTGTGGTCTCTTTGGTCTGCTATATCATCGTCGTCGTCTTCTTCTTCGCAAAATTTCAATTTTGTCCCTTTTTTAATCTTGTCCCACGTCTCCCTCTTGGTTTTCTCGTTTCTCTCACGGCTTTCTCGTCTGTTTCTCTACACTCTCGTCTCTCTCATAACTCTCTGTGGTCGTCGTCGAGGAAGTGAGTGTCTACGTGTTTGTCTTCGAGAAATTAAATGTCTAGGTGTCATCTAGGTCTTTGCCGTTGAGGAAGTGAATGTCTACGTGTTCGTCGTCGAGGAACTAAATGTCTAGATGTTGTCT